TCCAGCAATGCATGTATCTGTCTCTTCACCTGATGGCGTTTCATAGATTCCCAATGCTCTGTTCACTTTTCTTTTTTTTTTCTTTTTTTTTTGGTACCAGGGATCAAACTTGGGTCCTTGCACTTGCAAGGCAGGCGGCAGAACCACTGAACTAAATCCCTAGCCCTCTGTTCATTTTAATCTTTTTTTTTTCTGTTCCACACAATTGATAATTTCTATTGTTTTATCTTCAAATTCATTGATTCTTCTGCCTGCTCAAATCTGCTTTTAAATCACTCTGGTGAATTTTTCATTTTAGTTTCTGTACTTTCAACTTCTAGAGTTTCTTTTTGATTTCTTTTTAGGTTTTATATCTTTTGTTGATATTCTATTTTGTTTGTACATTATTTCCTACCTTTCTCATGTTCTTTGATCATGTTTAAGATGGTTGTTTTGAAATCTTTAAGACAGTTGTTTTAAGGTCTTTGTCTAGCAAGTTCATCATTTGTCTTTCTCAGGAATGGTTTTTGTTGGTTTAGTTTTTTTTCCTTTGAGTGGAACATATTTTCCTTTGTCTCTCAAACCTTATTATTTTTGTTGTAGATTCTGAAAATTAGACATTTAACTATAATAATGTAATAATTCTAGAAATTAGACTCTCCAACTTCTCCAGGGTTTCCTGATTTTTGTTTTTGTTTCTTATTGTATCTCTTCTCTTTGCCAGATATCATCCTAAAGTGTAAATTTAAGCTCTTGGGCGTTTTTTTAACTTGTACTTTTCTCTGGATGTATAAACTGACTATAACTTTTTTACTCTATGTGCTTGCTTTTTTTGTTTTTATTCTTTTTAAATGGTCTGGGTACCAAACCCAGGGTCTTCTGTAAGTACTCTATCACTGAGCTGCATCCCCAGCCCTGTGCTTGCTTTTGAATGTCCTAGGCCAGTAGTGGCAAATGCTGGCATATGTGCCACAAGAAGATGTTTGTCTTCATTGAAAGCTCTAAAAGGTTCACCATCACTGTCATAGGCTTTAACTGGCTCTCAAAAAGGGGAAAGTTGAATAATGAAAGAGAGAAAAAAGAAAATGAAACAGTTTTGACCGTTTAGACAGGTAGAAATTGCTATAACTTTAGTGCCTCATACAGCAACCATGTCTGTCTTGTCAGATCAGGTGGTAAACAATGTAGTTTATTGTAGTTTTGATAGAACATCCTTAAGAGTTCTTACACAAAAAATAGAAAATATTCTGTGTAGGGTTCTTTAGAGAATCAGAATCAATGGGACGTGTGTGTGTGTGTGTGTGTGTGTTGTGTGGAAAAAGATATTTATTTTAAGGAATTGGCTCACGAGCTTGTCTAGGGTTGGCAAGTCCAAAATCTTCAGTGTAGGCTGTGAAGAAGAATTGCAGTTTGAGTCCAAAGGCCATCTGCCGGCTTCCTTCTGTTAAGGCCTTCACTTCATTGGACAAAGCCCACTCACTTCATGGAGGGTGATCTGCTTTACTTAAAATCCACCCATTTATATGTTAGCCTGGTAAGAAAAATAATCTCAAAGAAATACCCAGAATGATATTTGACCAAATATCTGTGTATCATGGCCCATCAAATGGACACTTAAAAATTAATCATCACAGTATCTTAAAGTTAAATTATCAACAAAATGTTAATATTTAATGATATAATTATTCTTTGGCCCTCTTATATAACAGAATTCTATATTTTTATAATTTAAATTCTCTGTCTTGCAGTATTTTTTAAGGGTTTTGCTATGTAGGTTACAGCAAATCAAGTTCCCTAAGGTTGTCTTGGAATCACATATTTGATATTTCTGCTGTCTCCCTATGACCCTGAGAGAACTCTCAGCTGCAAACACAAAGCCTGCACATTTCTCTCCCTAGAAGCAGGACATGCAGTAGGGAATGGGGTTGCTTTTCAGCTCCCGGAGAGCCAGGAAGCCTTGTTGAGTAGGCCCAAAATAGCCTGAAAATTCCCTAGCAAGGCAAAAGGCTGAAGAGCCATTGATGTAAAGCTCTGTGATGCTCCTGTGGCTTTGATTTTTAATGGAGCATGGCCCTCTCTTCCAGCCTGGTTTTGTTCAGTCCCTGATCTCTTTTTGGCCCCTATCCCTTACCAAATCCTCTCACCATCTTAACTTTCTGCTTGGAATTTTCCACCCTTTATTATCTGCTCTCAAAATGATTGCATAACTGTATTTACTTTGGTGACTTATTCCATTAGTTACTCTCTGAACAAAATGATTTTCCTAATCTCTGTGACTTCCTAAGGCTACTGAACTCCTACTTTGGATCCCTGTGGCCTTTTAAAGTAATTTATGTCAATCATTTTTAGTAGAGCTTTGCATTTCTCCATCTTATTAGCTATTTTTCTTGTGGGAATTTATGCAAAGTAAAAATCCCATTCGTCCTCCAGAAAGTGACTTTTCTCTCAGTTTCGTTTTACTTGGAATCAAATAACATAGACTTTATGACCATAAAGTTGTCTTTAGCTCTGAATCTGTTTTGTTTTTTGGTAAGGTGATCTTGAGATTTTATAGATATTATAGAAGCATGTAGAAGCATTCAGAAGCTGTGGACTTGAGTAAATGCCTTTCTCTGCCACTCTTACAGAATTGGATGTGTGTCTCGTTTTTAATGTGATAATCATCTAATATTCTCAAGAATTCCTTATTCTACCCAGTTATATTTTTCACTTAATGTGGGTCTTTATATTTTCTTCTTCACATTTTGGGGGATTTTTAAGAACCAAACAATCTACTTCTATGGAAGCCTTGTGTAAACCCTTCTTTCTGGAAGATTCCAACAGGCACCAAACGATACAGGAGACTCCAGCTGTGCTGTGTTCATGACCTTCGGATGATGTTGGGGCAGTGACCTTGAAAGGGGGCATCAACACCGGGTGTGCACATCACTGGAGCTCAGTTCAGGAAGAAATAGTTACACCTCTATTAAGCTGCTGTCTGAACTTCATCCTTCAAAATGCTAATCACTAACAAGATTCTCAGTGTGTATATTAACATATTAGGAAACATATTGAGAATGGTCTGCCCCTGTGTCTGCAGTCTCAACGTTTTTCGTATAGGGGATTTGAGTAAAGATCCTGGAGGCCAAATGTTTGCCTTAGAAAATTCTTTATCTCATATTAACATAAATATACAAATGTAATCTCATAAATATAATGCTACTCTTAGGCTCTATAAACACATGATTATCTATTGCCCTTGTTAATTTGCTACTTGAGGAGTTAAAGCTCAGGGGCATTATCTTCAGAGTTCTTTGGTTTTCAGCAACAGAAACTACCTCTGACCAACTCAGACTGGTGTAGACAACAACAAGGCTGCCTCGAAAAGTCAAGGGTGAAGCTGGTGACCCGGGCTCAGGAGAACAGCACCAGACCTCAGGAGGAAACAGCACCAGACCTCGGGTCGCCTCTGCTCCAGCCACAGTCCTCCTCTGATGACTCGCATTTCCGAGAAACAGAGCCTGAGGGTCTACCTTGGGTTATATGCCACCCCTAAAAGTGTCCTATCAGCATCCCACTGAGATGTATTTCCTGAGGCCTGTGCAGAGAGGGTCCTGCTCCGCTATCATATTTATAAACCCTGACACTAGAATGTTACCACTTGGTAAAAGGTGCCAATGCTAGTAGTTAATTTGCTTCATACCCAGAAAGAGAAAATTTTGTTTAGTCCAAAATGCTACTTTCCTACTAGGAGGAAATCTTGAAATTTACTTGGTTGTGTTTCATCTTTCTCTTCACATCTCTTCTAAATGACATTTGAGTTCTTAAACCGTCTTCATGAAATTCAAGTAAAAATATTCACTCAGGGTCAAATATAATTTACATTTTTAATAAATAATTGAAAGCCCTTAGAATAAATTTTAGAAAATTAAGAACCAATTTTAAACTAAATTTTCTTTTTAAATCCATTTACCTTCCATTTTATATAAAAAATTACTATACTTTGACTCTACCATTAAATCCAAGTTTAATCATTTTGCCTTTAGTTCATAGGGGAAAAAAAGCACAAAATGTTTAGGATTAAATCTCTTCCAAGGAAAAGAACTGATTCTAGTTAGATATGAGACAGAAGTAAGAATTTCTGGTGTGCTATTGCATAGCAAGGTGAATAGATAACAATAATGAACTGTGTATTTTAAAAAGCTAGAAGAAAGGATTTTGAATATTTTCACCATAATGAAATGCTAAATGTTTAAGGAGATAGATATATTTACCCTGATTTAAAAATTAAAATATATAGGGCCAGGGATTTATCTCAGTGGCACCATGCCTGCCTCACAACCACAGGGTCCTGATTTCGATCCCCAGTACCAAAAAGGAAAATTAAAATATATAAAATCTATCTATCAGATAGATAGAAAGATAGATAGGGAGAGAAACATCACTTGGTACTTCATAAATACATATTATTTTTATTTATATATCAGTTAAAACCAAATTTCAGTTTCAAAATGGAAAGACTCTATGAATGGTGTGGGTTTAAATTGAAGTAATTATTTGAAACTCCCAGTCAATTGTGTGTGATTCATGCAAGGTCAATGGAGGAAAAATAATTTTATCCATGTCCGTAAGTTACCTACTAGGTGTATAACACCATATAAAACATTCTGAGATTCACCAGACTCTGTTAACAGGGTGGAGAAGCAGGAGGGAGGAGGAAGCACAGCAGTTTCATGCCGAAATATGTAGTCCAGTTTAGACAAACAGTTTCAATTCAGAAGAACATCGAAGGCAGTGGGGGCTCTCCTGATAGGGAAGAGATTGGACGCCAGCATGGGGGAAGCAAGACTTGAAGTAGGACTTAGGGATGGGCAGGATTTGGCTGTAAAAGTAACAGAGGACCTTCAGTATTTGGGCTCTACAAAGATCCTGACTTAGGCTTCTGTGAAAAGCAGAGTTTCAGTGCAGTGGCATCTCTGGGGGAGCAGAATTTTAGTGTTCCGCGATGACTGGCTGGGATTAATCTCGCCTCTTCCCTCCAGGTGTGTCCGCCCAGCTTCCCAGCACCCGGCACGGCCGCAGCACCTCCGTGGGGACGCCCTTCTGGATGGCTCCTGAGGTCAGACAGCAGAGCCTTTGGGACACGCTGTATTTGCTCATTTCTGACTTTCTTTTCATGTGTGCTTTGTCCATAAAGGTTTTGGAATATCCCAGAAGAACATGGCATAATGTTATTTTAAGGTGGGATTTTTACACGTGTAAGAGGATCATGGGAGGTGCTTCATAAATGAGCTGTGAAGGGATACATAAAAAGAAAGAAATGATCCTCCCTCTGAGGAGTAGCTGGCAAAAAAAAAAAATTGATTCTTTTGCTGTACAAAGCTGTTTAATTTGGTGTAATCCCATTTGTGGATTCTTGCTGTCATTTTTTGTGCAATTGAGGTTCTGTTCAGAAAATCCTTCCCTACACCTATGGCTTCAAAAGTTTCACCTATTTTATCTTCCAGTAGGTTCCATGTTTCTGCTTCAATGTTCAGGTCTTTGATCCATTTTGATGTTAATTTAGCATGTGGTGAAACATAGGGCTCAGTTCTAATCATCTTCAGATGACCAGTTTCCCCACCCCACTGGTTGGACAGGCCATCTTTCCTCCAATGTGTGCTTTTGGCCCCTTGTCAAAAATCAGATGGCTGAATATGTCTGGGATGTTGCTGCATCCACAGTTCTTTCCACTGGTCCACATAAAGAAGTGAAAAAACTAGACCACCTAAAATAAAAGAGCCAGTCAAGAAATGGGCAAGTGAAATGAACAGACGTGTCACACAGGAAGAAGTACAAATGGCCAACAAATATATGAAAACATGCTCAACATCTCTGGCCATTAGAGAAATGCAACAACAGTGCTGATTGCATCTTACTCCAGAAGGAATTGGCAATCATCAAGAAATCAAAAAGTAACAAATGTTGGTGAGGCTACTGTGAAAAAGAAATCCTCCTTCATAGTTGGTGGGAATGTAAACTAGTACAACCAATACGGAATCAGTATGAAGATTCCTCAAAAAACTAAAATTAGAAATTCCATATGACCCAGGTATCCCTCTTCTAGGTATCTTCCCCAAAAGGTTAAGACATCGTACTATAGCGATCATCCATACCAGTGTTCATAATAGCATGATACAGACTGGAAGCAGCCTGTATACCCATCAACAGATAATTGGATAAAGAAAAGGTGGTATCTATATATAGTGGAATACTACTTGGCTATAAAGAAGGACACATTTGAGACATTAGTAGGAAAATGGATGCACCTGGGAAATATAATGTTGAGTGAAATAAACCAGACACACAAGCTTAAATACTGTTTGGTGTCTGTCATTTGAGTAAGAAAAAGTACAAGCAAAGAGGTTAATAAAGAATGCATAGGAGATAAAAAAAAAATGGATCTCTTGAAAATGAGAAGAGGTCCAAGAGACTAAGGGTGAGGGCTGAGGAGGAGGGAAGAACAAGAATTAGAATAAAGACATGCCACTTACAGGAGTCTCAGTGAGTGTCAACGTTACATAAACGTGAGCCACGGACATGAGCTGAGATCAATAACACCAACCAGAATGAAAATGAGGGAGGGGGAATTAGAGGAGGAGGGAAGGAAGGGGGAGGGAAGAGGAAGGGGATTCAAAACAGAAACAAGCTGTAGTATGCACATGCACCCACTCCCCAGATGACTGTAAACTGCACGTGCTGCAAGCATAGGCTCGAAAAAAAAGAAAACGAAAAATTGAATGAATGAGTGAATCAAGTGAAGTAGAGAGAAACTGCTTGCAGTTTTAATTTTCCCTTAAATTTACTTTTGGTTGTGTAGCATGTGTCGATATCATGGATATTTCCACTGTTTTTAAATGGCAGTGGAAATATTATGGGAAACCTTGGCTTTGTTAGCTCAGATTCAGGTCCATTTACATGTGTGGCGAGCTCCATACTGAGTTACCCACCTGGGCCTGTGTTCAGCTTTAGCACATTCTTGTCATCATTTCCTTGGGGAAATTCCAGATAAGTGGCTCAAAATCTCCAGTCACATCCCTCCTCGCAATCATTATTAATACCTTTAGTCTTTTAAATTATGTTTATCAATAAAAAACGCTTAGTTTTGAAACCTCTCACTGCAACTGTTGGGGAAGCTCTGCTATTTATCTATAATTTTCTAGGGAGTAAAGGGAGGAGAAGTAATACAAATGCTTTATTAATACTGTGAAATCTTCTAATTAAATTTGGTGTACTCTATTTGAATATTAATTCAATTGCTACTTACAAAAGTTAAGTTATGTAAGCCTAACATAAACTGTGGAGAGAGGATAAATTATTTTAAGAAACATTTCTGAAATTCCAATGGATTAACTTAATAAGGACTACATCTTAGAAGAAAATTAAAAGTATAGTCACATAAACAAAAACAAAATGTAATATGACTCAAATGAGTTTCTGTTGTTTGTTCAACTATTTCATTAGTGTTTTTAAAATTCATAAAAAACTTACGAAAGTGACAAACCAATGAAAAGTAGTTATATGTCAGATATTGCATTTTGTACACATACATTAATATAAATAATAGATCTTATAATTATATTATCATATTAATAGCCTGCTTTTATGTTTGATACATTAATTTGTAGTTACAAAGCTATTATCATATATTTAACTTTGCCATGCAATAAAAACACTCATTTATATGCAGTTACTAGACAGTTATATTTTGATAAATCATTATTTGTTATTAACAAACTTACAGTGGCACAAATAGAACTTGAAAGATCTTTCCTGCTTAGCAAAATATTGGATATGATAGAGAAGAAGCAAGTTTATAGCAGGTTTTCTAACTATCATATAAATATATGCTTGAGATTTTGTGTGTAATACCCTCATCTCACTGTAATAATTGCCTTCTAATCTCAAAGAACAGTGTATTTTTAACAAGCAACTTTGTAGCTTCAAGATATCCCAAATATGCTATTAATATTATCTCTATGTTATTGATGACACATTTCTAAGGATTAGAAAGCACTAGGTAAAAAAATATATTCATCATAATGACATAGAAGTATTTCAGTGTTTTCAGGGCTAAGAGGCAAGCTTGTTGAAATCAATTATTGATTGAAAAGTGAAAGCCCTGATTTGGGATTTCTAAATTGAAGTCTGCATCTCAGGCAATATTTGTCGGTTGTCTAAAGCTGTCTTTTCCAAACTGCGGTGCCTGTGTGCCAGAATGAAGGGGTCAAGGGAAATATGACCACACAGCTTACTGCATAAAGACAAGAGACCTTGGAGAGTTCCCCGGGGTGGAACCTGTAAAGATTCTAGGACAGCGAGCAGGAACCAGCATCGTCCCTGACAAATTGGGACTTCATTCACTTGAACCTGTGGAGCGGTGTCCCTAGGCCATGTGTGAAGCCATCAAATCGCGTGTTACCCTGAACTCACAATCTTCCTGATAAAAATTAGTTGCATTAAAATTATATTTTTACGCTAAGGTGAAGAAGATATACAGCAGATATATCATACAAAGATAAACAACCGACACTCACGGAAATATATTTTCAAGTTTTAATGGCTTTACAGACAGAGAACTCACATTTTATAGAATATACTCACTTCACATGCACAATTTTAATTTTAATGACTTTGGTGTATATTCGCAGGAGTGTACAGTCATCACTACCATGCAAGTTTGGAACATTTTGTTTCCTCTGAAAGCAAAGTACGCCCCTTCTCCTCCCAAGCTCCCCTCCCTCATCAACCATTAGTCTATTTTTATCTCTGTGCATTTGCCAATTTGGAACATTTCATGTAAATGGGGTCATGCAATATTTGGCCCTTGTGTCTGGCTTCTTTCACTTAGTTTAATATTTTCAAGGTTTGCCCATGGTATACCATTTTTCAGAGCCTCTTTTTATGTCTGAATAACATTCCTCTGTGTATATATATACCACCTTGTGCATATCCATCAGTTGAAGGACATTTAAATGTCACTATGAATACTTACCACATCTAGTTTTAATGTAAAACTAAGGACTGCAGTCTTCTCCTGGTGCTTTAGGCTATGCTCTTTGGTTTTAGCGATTCATTCTTCTACAACATTAAAAATATTAAAAATTTCCTACTTTGGTAGGAAAGGTTGAGAAGCACTCCATGAGCTGACGTCTGACCATACAGACCGAGTAAGGAAATGGTGTCTCTTTCCCCTACATACCAACAATTTGTGTTGATATTTATTATTGGCATTCCAGTGTTTATTGGGTGACGATTGCTTATGCTTCTCCCAAACTGCTGCCTTTACCTTTCCAGGCCTTTTCGCTTATTTGCCTGTGAACAGTGTAGAAGCAGAGCGTTTCCAATAGCAGACACTTCACCATCTCGGCCTCTGTCCCAGCATTTTGCCTGAGTAACTGCTGTCCTGTGTGCGTGCTCATCATTGGGTTCCTTTGATCTTTCAATACACCGGGATGTTTGTATTTAGTTATTTTCCATCTTTGCTATTAGGTAGAAAAAAAAACTTACTAACGAGGGACTCACCATTCCTGCATGGTGTGTGCAGAGTTACCAACTGACCTCCAGTCCGCCAAAGACAGATTTTTAAACTGTGCTAAGCAGTAAGTGGAGTCAAAAAGATGAGAAATGTCCCAGATGGGGTTCAGGTTTCCTTCACTTTACGTATCATTTTATAGCTCTGTAGATAAATGATACAACTCTAATCTTCCATTAGAATCATTCCCATAATCATTTTTTATTTTTCTGGTGGGATACCATTCATAAAATGTAAACTTTTCTAAAAGTACAAAATGATTTTGAAATGTAAAGTGGACTTTCTTTTTTGTGATCTCTGATGTTAACAATTATCATTTACAGGCCATTGGTATTTGTGTTTACACATTTAGAAATAAATTAAGAAATAATTAGAGCAATCATTTTCTGTATAATTGCAAAACAAGTCCCTTTTTACTTGTCTTTCAGTTACATCCTTTAGCTTAAACCATGGTTTAAACCTGGTTATAATTTTATAATTTAGCATGATGCAGATAAGCTGTTGGTAAATCTTCTTTACTGCTTATTTTTATTGTTTACTTTTTTATCATCATTGATGGATACCTTTTGGTGTCCCTCCAGCCTTGATGTGTTCCTCCCTTGGATATCCTGGTCTTCTGATTGCTAGTAAAGATTAAGACCTTCTAACTAGACTACCCTCAAATTCATTTTGTTATTTTCTGTGCTTTTTTAATTCTTCAAAGATGTGTTCCTTATCTCTGCTCCAGTGAATATCTCCAGACTCCCATCAAATGTTCGCTGACACAGAATCCATGGCTGTGCCTTTGATCCCATCCCTTTCCATTTGGTTTGTTTGCGGATTTTTTGGTACCAGGGATCGAACTCGGGTCTTTGCGCTTACAAGGCAGGCAGCGTCCCTTTCCACCTGAGACACTGTTTCTTTCCTGTTTTTGTTTTCCATTTTCAAAAATACTCCTTTGCATAGGCTTCTTCCTTTATATTTGCAAACCTGGTAAGGTACTCTCTGTTCTCAGAATAAAAATAGTACTACTGCTAATAATGTGGTTGCTTATTCTTATCCTACATTACTGCCTTTGTCTTTACTTGCAGCTATCAAACTTCTCCGGTTAAATACTTGAGCTTAGTTCTAAACATTTTGCTGCGTACTTGTTATGATCACAAACCTTTCCTTTTTGTTTGTGTTTTCTCGTAGGTGATCGCCTGCGAACAGCAGTTAGATACCACTTATGACGCCAGATGTGACACCTGGTCCCTGGGAATCACTGCCATTGAGCTGGGCGACGGAGACCCTCCACTGGCAGACCTGCACCCCATGAGGGCACTCTTCAAAATACCAAGGTGGAGGCTGCAGCCGGGTCTGTCTTTCCTTCTCCTGCCACTGACCTGTCATGTTCACCAAGGACATGGTCACGTGTGAGCTGGCCAGCCGGAAGCCAGCCCAGCATATTCTGCTGCTTCCGCAACTGTATTCGTTCGGTGACTGCCTCTCCCTGGCCTAAGTGAAAAGCTTTTATCTTGGTAGGCAGTCTCTCTTTCTTCTGCCAGGATCTGACCTCGGAAAGTACAGTTGCTCCCACTCCTTGCCCTGCCCTTGGTCAGGGAGGCGCCCGGGGCTGGACGATGCCCATGTGACTTTCCTCACCCACCAGTCTGAATATTTGTCACTACTTGCTACCCCTCTTTGTTTAGAACTTTAAAATAATCACGTTTTCAAGAAATGATAAATAAAATTTATTGACTGAATAGTGATTTAAATAGGTTGATATTTTGAATACTCCCATATAAAGTAATAGAGAAGAATGCCATCTGGAGCAAGGAAATCCATTGCTTCCTGTACAGACTCCTCCCCTCCAGGGCGAGCATCAAGAAAACATTATTACTAATTTCTTTAAGTGCTATTTTATGCGTTGATTACTTGTAGATGTTTCAGAAAGTGAATGTGGAAGGACTGCCTGTCCTTAACCACAGCCGTGTCAGTGCTGAAGACCGTAAGGCTTTTGCCTTATTCTCCTGGAAGGCTGGGTGAGGGCAGGGCCCGGGCAGAGGGGAGGGGCCCCTGCTACATCTGTTAGTGCCCTCTCCGCTAAACAGGATTTGTGGTCTCAACATCGCGATGACAGAGAAATGCAAAGCTCTGTGGGGAGTGGGGGAGTGGTCTAGTCCTAAAAAATGCCCACAGGTTACGCTCATTCCCAAATGGGTCCATTGGAAATATCTGGTGTGTAGCTAAATTATAACACCAAAGCACTTGTGCTTTTTATTTTGCTGGCCGTTTTCTTTTTTCTTTTCATATTAGTGCACATCAGTTGTGCAGAACAGTGGTTCCCATTTGGCATGCTGCTGCACACGCACAGCATCCTCCTGCCCTTCTCATCCTCCCACCGTCCCTTTCCCTTCCTTCTTCCCTCCTTCTCGCTTGTTTCCTCTGCCCTAACAGTCTCCCTTCTACATTCATGTTGTCTCTGTCTTTTAGATTCTACATGAGTGAAAAAAAAGGAATATTTCATCTTTCTGAACCTGGCTTTTTCACCTAACATGATTACATTTGGCTTTCTTTTAATTAGTCTTGAATTTCCTACCTGTGTGTGTGTTCTGAATTATAATACTTTAGATATAAATCATATTTTACCTAACAATTTCAGTGTCATCTTAGTCTTTACCATTTGTAAAATATAGTAGTACTTATTTATTACTTGGGGAAACAAGGTTACAGAAACAAGGGGGAATGTTTGGTATACCAGCTCTGAGACACCTCATTTAATTTGAGGAAGTCAAATTGTAAAAATCTGCTTTTCCTAATGCCCATTGTCATTCAGTATGTAGGAGGAGCCTTGTACTTTCTGAGCCATTGTAATTGCGGTTTGAAACACAGTATTTAAGCCAGGTCTGTTACTCTTGGTTTAAATCCCACATGGAAGGGCGAGGATGACAACCATGGATAGACGGTTCTTCCAAAATAAGAAATGTGTCAGGCGAGTATGGACATTGCAGCAAGTAAATTATTTCTTATTATTTCTATCACCAGTGTTCCTCTAATGAGAATTTTCCAAATATTAACTGTAGACCTATGTAGACAGAGAGAATCTGAGAAGCTACCCACTTCTAAGTGTTGGGAAATCATCAAAACTTTGTTATACTCAAAGTAAGTCACTAAATCTCCTAAAAGGAAACTTTCAGGGAACAAGAAACAGAAGGAGATTGTTGGCAAAAAGCACTACCTCTTTTTATGTGCAGCTCAGCAGTCTTTACAGAGTTCTCAGGGATAGGAAATGAGTTTTGTCTTGGTCTGGGGTAGATGCATAGCGGCACTTTGTTTTAAAGAGCCTGTACACACTGCACATTAATTTCATTATCAGCTACTTAAGGAGTGATGCAGAGCTGAAGACAAAGTATCTCCATTCCACTAATGAAAACAAAGAGCTGTTGCAATGAACATAAAGCAGCCCTTCAGCAAATTCAGCCATCATGGTTGATCAGTGTTGCTTGATTACAGTCTTAGATCAGTCTCATTTTCAAGCAATATTCCTTTGTATTCATGGGCAGACCAAAAAAGAAAAGATTTGTTCAGCTTGAAGATGAAAAGAATTAATAACAAAATCTTTTAAGTAGCACTCAGAGCTTTATAGCTAATAATATTTTCCCATTTTGGCTTTTGTAACACTTTGTAATACTTGCTTCCTGTCCTGTATCCAGTAACAAAAGAACAATCCCAAAGGCCTCTACTGTGCCCCTGGGTGGCAGTTTCCCGCCTACGCCTACCCAAACAACTCAACTTTCACATCACCTCTTTGTACCCTGGGTATTTCTCAGAGACTTCTGCAAGACTTATAGGGAAAAAATCTTTACCCCAAAATTCATTGTTAAGTATTGATGTTTTCCCTGAGTGCTCGCTGGTAAAAGCGAGATTCGTTAAAAAGAAAAAATGAACTGTTGGAAAAATTGGATGGTATATTAAATGCTTTCAGAAAAACAAGAAACCTGTCATTATGTAAAGAGTGATTAATTACTAGTCATCTTTCCTTGACTTGGAAATTGCTGGCAGCATTTGATGACAGTGGCCGCGCCTGCAAGTGCAGTTCTATGTCTGTCAGTTCTTCTCGGGTTGTTCTGACTGAGCAGGGGACACCATCCAACCTTGATTCTTCTTTTTCCAGGAACCCACCCCCTCAGCTAAGGCAGCCCGAACTGTGGTCAGCAGATTTCAACGACTTCATTAGCAAGTGAGTAACAATAGAGTCTCTAGAAAAAAAGCAAATTGATATCATCCTGCCCTAACTTTCCACTGTGCTTTTTAAAGGAATGCCATTGGGCTTCTAACTCTCCTCCAGTTTCTTCTTGTTAAATAGCTCCAGAGGTTTCCATTATTTTCTGTAGCATCCTGTAATTGCTCAGTCAGTTCATCATTGCATAAATAATGACCTGAGGGTCAAGTTCGTGCATGGATCTGTAGCTGTGTGCCTCTGTGCACGCTCTCTTGTCTGCGGGTGTGTTCTGTTCACTTGCCTGTTGCAACGACACCCTCAGCGTCTCCCACCCGCTCACCCACTGTCAGGTCTGCAGCCCTTCGTGTATCTGTGTCACTAATTCTCATTACAGAGAATTTTCATTGCAATCAGTGAATCAGAAAATCGTGTTTATAAAAAGCATATGCATTTGAAGTTCAGGGAATGCTGTTGATTTGACAAATACTTAGCACAACTGCAATGCCGCCATGCAGTTGACTAGAAAGGAGGAGTCAGCGTTTGTAAAGCTCTGTCCCATGAACCTTTCCCATGATTTCATCATGTCTTCACCTTATATGTACACCACCAGCCATAACCCCGGGTTATAGACAGGAGGAGGGGTCACTGAGATGTCGTGTGCCAGATTCTATTCAGAAAGTGGAGAAGGGCAAAGAAAGCAGAGAACCCAGCCATACACTGGCTTTCCTAGAAGAATAGCTGCATGTTCTCATAAAGGCAAGAGACGTGGACTTAATAGTTTGTAAGAACACAAGATGGATTGATAATCTTTTTTTTTTAATTTTCACTGAGTGAGTGCTATGCACGACATTTTACTTAATAAATGGCAATAACATTTCTCATGTCCCTTAGGAGAATCACGGGTAACCCTTTAAGGGACCCCATGATTCCCAGCATCTGCCTCCTGTCTGCAGGACCCTCCATACAGATTCTCAGTGAACTCAGTTCCTTTCCCACGTTCTTCACAGTCCCTACGGAGAAACATTTCCTAGTTTCCTCCAGGCAGTTAGCGGTCTGTCCCGGGTGCTGTGTACTTTGTTCTTCTTCCACTGCCAACATTGCTGATTTGATTGAACTTACCTGCTTTGATGTCTTTCTTTCTAACTAAATAATAAGCAACTGAGAGCGCTGAGTGTCCCCTCTCTGCCACTATCACTTTAGTGTCAAGCCACGTGTCTGGTACACATTGGAGGTTTGATAAAGTTTTACTTGAAAAAATACTTTCACATGGAGCTCTTCAGACTACGTAGATGTGAGTGCTACTAATGTCTCTGAATTCTGTGAAACTACATGGAAATGATGAGCATTTGATCTTATTCTCAGATATCAGGATCTTTATTTCTTAGTGTATTTTAGAAACCTTAGAAAATATCTTTCTGGTTGAGCCCAATGAAATAAATTGAAAAGTATCACCCTAGAAGGCTCAGCAATGCTGATTTCAATGGTACTGCTCAAGCCAGGACTGGGCAGCAGTGGTTCCTCCTTCTCCTCCTCCTCTCCTCTCCTCTCCTCTCTTCTTTCCTCTTCCTTCTTCCTTCTCTCCCTCCTTTCTTCCCTCTCTTCCTCTTTCCCTCTCCTCCCTGTTCTCCTCCTCCTCTTCCTCCTCTTCCTACTCCTTTTTCTCCTCTTCTTCCTCCTTCTCCTCTCCCTCCTTCCTTTCTCTTCCTTTTTTCTCCTTCCCCTCTTCTTCCTTTTCCTTCACATCCTCCTCCTCCTATTCTTGTCTTCTTCCTTCACTCCTCCTCTTTCTCCTCCTTCCTGCTTTTTTCTGTTCTTCCTTCTCTTCCTCCTTCCCTCCTTCTCTTTCTCCTCCTCACCTCTTCTTCTTCCTCCTGCTTCTCCTTTCTTTCTCTTCTTCCTCTTCCTCTCCTCTTCCTTCTTCTCTTTCTCCTTCCTATCCTGCTTTTCTCTTTTTTAATACCCTCAAATGACAGTCCAGTTTTTCATAATTACAGAGTCTCTGAATATCAGTCAGAAGAGTCTTGGAAAGTTATAGAGCTTGAGCTTACAAGTACAGGTCAAACTCTTTCACTGAGTGACCATTCAGTCAGTACTTAAATATGTCTAATGAAGAGTGTCATGCTTTCCACCTTCATAAACCTCACTGGGCAAGTTCTTCTTGCCTCTGACCTGAAATCTGTTACTCTCTTGATTCCTCCAGTCAATACTAAGGTTTTTCTGCCCCTTGTGACCCCTGAGAACCAGTCAAACCCCTCTCCCAAAATATCTTAGGACAGCTGTCACAGCTGATTCAACGACCTAAGCTTCAAATGCTCCTCCTGCATTGTCCTCCAAGCTGCTCTCACAACTCCATCCTTTCTCATGAGTATGCTCTGCTGAACCCCTCAACAGGTGTGATTTTGTCAATCTATTGCCCATGTGACCTTAGAAACACCTACTGATGTGGAATTTAAACTTCCTCAGCAGAGTAGGCTTCAGATGAGCCCTAGGCTGTGATGGCTTCACTGTGCTCAGTCTTTGGCTTCTGACTTGTCGAGGACTTCACAGTGGAGATGGTCTCCCTATCACTGTGCAGGATGCTCGCTGGGGATGGAGGGAGCAGCACTGAGCTGAAAGCTGCTGCCCCTGCAGTATCACCATGCAGAGACCTATGCATCTCACTGATATTCATTCTTCATCTTGCAGTTTAATATTTTTTGCAATGTACTCATGCTGAGAATTTATGAGAAGTGTTACTCACCTAGAGTAAAGTAGCTTTTTTTAGGACTATATATGATAGTTTCAATACTTGTTATGGCTTATGTCTAGATATCACCCCAAAGCCTCATGTGGTCATAGGTGGGGCTTTTTCAGAAGTGGCTGGATCTAGAGTGTGTGACACTGGGACTGATTCATGGTGCAATGCTAGGATCAAGAGCACCAGGATTAAGGGCTTGAGTGCTACCCACTCTGAGTACCCTGGATAAGATATAAGGGATAGAAAGAGCTGTGGTCATCTCTTGCTTGCTTTTCTGTCTTCTACCTGCCATGAACTGTTTCTCCTCTGCAATGCCCCTCTGCCATGTCCACCCTGCTGTGGAGCCAGTCATCTGTAGACTGAAACCTCTATGAACTGTGAGCTAAATAAACTTTTCCTCCTTTAACTTTGGGTGCAGGTATTTTGTCTCAGCAATGAGAAAAGTAGCTAAGACAATACTCTAACTTATCTAATAATCATGTGTTATTTCTCGCCAGTGCAGATGTTTGACTAAAGATTATGAAAAGCGCCCAACAGTATCGGATCTTTTACAGCATAAATTTATTACTCAAATTGAGGGCAAAGAAGTAATGTTACAAAAACAGCTCATGGAATTCATTGACATCCACCACTGCATGGGAAGCACAGAGAAGCCCAGGTAAACAAACAATATCTTGAGTCCCAAAATCTAAACATTATCTGAAGACCGAAAACTTTTAAAACGTAATAGTTGCTAGGGTGAAAAAATAACTCATTTAAATTCTCTGGTTGTGATTTGGAGGTAGTGGAGTGTTTGCATGGAAAGTGAATTTTACATGTTGAGTTGTATCCTGGTTTTGGAGCAATGACTAGTGGAATTTTTTGAAATAATTGAATCAGAACAAAAAGGCAAACATTAAATAGGTAAACTTTATTAGATGATTAGTATTGGTATGTATTTTCTTTTTTGGTCAACAAATTAAGATGTCTTAGGCTTGAGATTTTTAAAAGAAACATCAATCTTGAAAGAATTTTTGAAAGTGTTATTTGTTGGTATCATTTTCACTGATTACATTATAATTTCAAAGCATTTAAATGTCTTCATAGTTTCTATTTGGATTTTTAATAGTACATTTATTTTAGGGATTTTAGAACAAAGGTACACAACATAGAAATTAATCAAGTACAATATCTTAATCTATAAACTTTTAGCATCTCTTATAGTTGAGTATACATTTTAAAGCAAAACTGGAATAATATTTCTATGAGTTCTGCAGCCTGTGTTCTTTCTTTGAATAGTGAATGTTTGTATTATTTTTTTCATATTATTGATTACTTTTCTACCACAAAAATATTTTATGGCTGCACAGCACTCCCTTGACTGATTGATCGATGATTAATTTAGAATTTTTTCTGTTGTTAGATGTGTAAGTTGTTACTAATCATTTTTACCTTAACAAGTAACACTGCAAAGAGTGGTTCAGGAATCTCTTACTGTTTACTCCAGATAACTTCCTGTTGAAGGTACAGCTAAATCAAAAAGTAGTGATTTGTAATTTAAATTTATTCCTGAGAATCCTATTAACTTCATTTTATCAGTAGTATTTGGGGAGTTGAAGGAATTGAATAAAAAGTAGAACATGACTTACTTGAATTCCCATTGTGAATTTCCATGTTTAATTCCTGTTCTTGTCATCTAGTTGTCAGATACCGTGTTAGGACTTCTTTTATATTATCTCATGTGATTTTAAAACAACTCTGAGGAAAATATTTCATGACACCCCATTTTCACAGTTGAGAAGAACTGAATCTTGTAGAGATGAGTTAACTTGCATAAGGCTGTGAGGGTAATGAATGACTTCACAGAAAGTCACTCTTGGCTCCAAAGCCCAAGCCTTACCCAGAGGAAATGGCCTGACAGTTGTGGATGATCTCTGGGGATAAACCTTGCCTGGGAGAATTTATAGTCTTGATACAGAGACAGAACTAATATACTTTTAGCGAGGAAAAATTAGGGCTGTGGGTAGAATCAAACTACTGATGAAAGGAGGGAGGCACATAATTACAGGGAGACAGTGACTGTTAGATCATACGGGCCCATCCTTGTGTCTTTGTGTGAATGCAGTCCCATGGGCTTCCACAAGCCACCCTTCCCAAAACAAACAAAATAAACAGTAAACAAAGTAATCTCACTGTGTGGGATGTCCAGTGTCAAGAACTAAGAAGCATCTGCTTGCCTGCTAACAAATTGACCTCCCCCAGGGTGTATGAATACTAACTGAAGGCACAGACTCCCAGGTCAGACACAGACAACCTGATTATTCATAGCTAAGCTGCAGTGGAAGTTCCATGTCCACACTGGGTGTCATTGTCCCTCAGTCCCAGGAGTGATGAGGACCTGTCCAGGTGGATACTGTGCACACAGTGAACTTGGCCTCCCAGCTGGAGAACCCTGGAGTTCTTCGTTTCCTCAAAGAGTTGTGAGCATTCCTGCTCCTCTCTCACCCTGGAAGAGACATTATCTTCATCATCCTGGAAAGCAAATGAAAGTAGTGTCTCCTGGAGAGAAAGTACCATTTTTAACTTTTATGCTAGTCACTTTCTTTTCATGGCTGGGACTCAATACCAGATACCAGCAACTTAAAGGAAGAGAGTTGTATTATGGTTCACAGTTTTTGGGGTGCTCGGTCCTGGTGTGCTTGGCAGAAATAGCTCAAAGGCAGAAACAGCATGGTAGGGGTGCCTGGCAGAGGAAAGCTGCTCCTGTTGCGGTGGCCAAAAACAAAGAGCAGAGAGGGGAGCTGGGGAAGTAGGGGTGACTAGGCGTCCAGGTCTCAAGCCTAGTGACCTGCCTTTTCCTGCAGGCCCCACCTCTAAACATGAGGATTTGGGGGGCATTTTAGATTCAAATGATAACAGCTTCCAAGGTTATCTGCTATACAAACATCATTGAAAAAAGAGTCTGGATTTATACCTAAATGGATGCACATTGATGCCATACTCTCAAGTGAAATAAATAGGACACACATGTATAAATACTGAATAGTTTCTCTGGTACCTAAAATGTACCAATAAACAATTTTTAAAAAAAGAAAAGAAAATAGAGTCTGGAACAGACCCACATATGATACATACATAAACATAAGGAGAACCGTCTCCTGAGATTCAAGCTTCAAAAGAATGGCTGAGACCAGCCGCCAGCTTAGCCATGCTGTCAGAGCAGTCGTGGGTGGCTGTGCCCTGCTCCATCCAGCTCGCCCGCCAACTTGCAACCAGGAGACTCTGAGGACCGCCCCCCCCGCCCTGAGGCATGCCCACCAGCCACCAGCTTAGCCACACAGGTGCCTGAAACAACAGGCCCTGGCCCACCCCCCGCCCCCAGCCCGCCTCTGGCCTCTTAACTGTGCATCTATCCAGTTCCACACTACAGAGGCACAGAGGGCATAAAGGCCATTGTCCTGAGCTGCAGAAGTGAACAACAGAGAGAGGGCCCCTCTCAGACTCCTCAATGAAAACTGAACCCCACTGGAAAAGTGAAGAGAATCTCTGCAATAAAGGCACACCAGACCACCATACTTGGTAAGTTGGAGGGATCATCACCTCCCATCAGAACCTGGACTATCATCAGGGGAAAGGCAGCTGGAACCTGTAATAGAACTTTGCAGAGTTCAACTCTGCAGAAGGACAGGGAGCTCAACTTGGGACTTGCAGCCGTAAATCTGCCTGAATCTCACAGGTCTACTACTGGCTTACTGAGACTCATTGACTTATAACTGCACACTGCTTCCCACATTGTTTATTGTGACAACAGAGACATACCCTGAAGGAGGCCCTTCATTTTTATCTTTTATTTGTTATTTTCAAAATTACCACTATTTTTTGCTCTTATTTTTTTTCTTCTTTTTCTACTCTTTTAAAATTTTTACTTTTCTCTTTTTTTTTTCTCTTTGCTTTCTCTCTTTCTCTCTCCCTTGCTCCCATGCTATCCCAAATTGTTTTTCATCTCCCTTTGTGTTTCTGTTCTGGCCCTAATTTGTATTTCTTCTTTATTTTTCTTTTCTTCTCTTTCCTTCTGTAGCCTGTGCCCTCTGGCCTCACTGCTAACCTTCCCCTATCCATCTACCTACCTATTCCTCTCTCCCCAACTCCTTCTAACTCCCCATCCTGAAGGGTAAAGTTGCTAGATTGAAGAGTTTATTCACTATAAACATATGTTCGATTGGTCTTTGATCTTGATTTAATTCACACAGTTAAAGGTGATAGGTTAATAACCACCACAAATTATCATTTTCTAAAAGGTACTTGATGCTATTGTGTTGCTGACTGTATCACTTGCACTAAGGTGTTGTGATTGATCTGATCAGTTGTCCCTCCTGGTATAATGAAAATGGGATAGCCTCAGAGCCATTAGAGACTCAAAACCTGAAGACCAGCTATACCTGGAAGACACCTCAGAGAAGCAATCATTTCATAAGGGTTCTAAATACATCAACAAAGATACTTACCATAAGCAACTACAAAGTATCAACCCAGGAATTAAACCAAGGACAGTACCAAAAACAAAAATGAGAAGACATTTAAGCAAGGCACAAACTCAGACTTCCACCCCACCAAAAGGCAAATTCTGGGGGAAACGAGGTGGAAAAGTCTGATACTCAACCACCTGGACACCCTGAACTGATAGCAC